TTGGAACGATAGTATGTGATAGTTTGAACTGACTTCACAGAAGCAAGTAAAGCAATCTTATTGACAAAGCATCTCATGATGCATCTCACTATGTATCCCAGAGAGTATTTAGAGGACAGATTTTATTATCATAAATTTGAAAATACCAAATATCATTCACCGCTTAGACATTGAAAATTTTTACTCAGTTCCACATACTTTTCAAGTTAGGATGGAGCTAAAAGGAAAATATGCAGCTGATATTTTTCTTACGTAAACTTAAGACTCTCAGCCTTTTGTATCAGTGAATCGTTTGGACACATAAGTGTTGCTATCTAAGATGTAAAGTAGAGACTGAGAATTTTAGCAAATTACAATTTAGAAGGATCTAAATCTGACATTGGCTTCAGGTCCAAATCTCCAAAAAGCACTTGCAAGAGACTAAGTCAAACAATTCCATATAATAACAAAAGTCTATGGTCTTACTAGCAGAGGTTCAAATTTACATTATAAAGCCTACCTAAAATTTTAAGTTTTTCTGAAAGATGCTGTACTGTATATTCATAAACCACTACACATTTCACAATCTATAGAACATTGATATAAATATTTATATCTGAAATAGAAAAAAATCAAACTGAAAACTTAATGAAGCTTTATCACATAGTACACATATTTACCTAATTTTAGAAAATGACCACATCAACAGTGAACTTGGTGTAACAGTATTTTACAGGTAGTCTGATGCAGAGGTATGGATGACAGTGTAAACTGTAATCTAAATGGCTAAGTTGTCACCTGTATATCAAAGGCACAACATAAGATAAGAAAGACTATTACAGTTTGTGAGAAGGCTGGTATATTTTAGGATCACCTTGGATCTCATGTTTGCAGTAAATGTCAGTTATTAGTGATGAAATTATTGTTTTCACCCAGAAGGAATTCCTTCACCCCCACCAAAGCTAAAAATCAGGAGTTACCATAATTCCAGACTAATATTCCTTATGGATTAATAGGATCTACGTATTGCTAGTCAAACCTGGTATAATACAGTCCAAATGTGCTATATGCAACTTATTGACTCAGCTCACATATTAGGTAGATATTAATAAAATCTATATTTTGGTACATATTTAAGATCTTAAGTTTTTGTGAATGTAAAAAAAGTCAGCAATACCACCCAAATAGCAAAAAAACTTTTGCAGTATTATGTAGGTCACTTTTATGTGTACTCTTTCCTCCACCTTAGGCAGCTGAAGGTGGCACCATAGGTAACAAACCCCTTCTCTTCAAATAACTTCCAAAAGCAGATGAAAGCTGAAGAAATCCAAACAAAAAGGACTTCAAGAACAAAGGAGAATCTAGGAGAGGTTAAATGTCTGTGTTGTAAATGAGACCAATGGTTAACAAAACAAGCTTAGGATGATGATATAAATCCTGTTTAAGCATCGGATAGCAACTCAGGCCTTGAAAGGTACGGGCACAGGCAGAAAGCAGAATCTCCAGAACTAGTCACTAATGGTCAATTAACGGTCACTGAAAAAACCCCACAACCTCAAGCACTGGGAAAAGGCTGCTTTTACATTAAGAAGAGAAGCAGCAGTTAAGCAAGGGAAAAATATCCAGTTGAAGGCACTGCTGTGGCCTGGGAAATTAACACCCCCTGAAGGATTTTGCATTGTGTAATCAAGACGAGGGTCGGGAACTGTCTAGAAACTAAACCATTTTATAAAAGGATAAGATCCCAACCTGGGTGTGGGGAAGGGAAGAAAAGATGGTAGAGAAGTAAAAAAATACCCACTTCCCTTGCAGAAGACCTCTAAAGTTTCAACATGTCATCTTGTCAACTACCATCACTGGTAGTCATCATTGCCAACTCTACAGTATCAGCTCCATGGGATTTCATATCCACATCAAATTTAGGACACAGATGTTAAGGACTGACTGCTTTGAATATGTAGTGGTAGTGATTAATAGTAAGAACTAATCTGTAGTGATAATCATAGAATCATTTAGGTTGGAAAAGACCTTTAAGATCATCAAGTCCAACCATCTTGTGGCTTTCCAGTACCTGAAGGGGCCTACAGGAAAGATGGTGAGGGACTGTTTATGAGGGAGTGTAGCGACAGGACAAGGGATAATGGGTTTAAGCTGAAGAAGGATCGATTTAGATTAGATGTTAGAAAGAAATTCTTTATTGTGAGGGTGGTGAGGCACTAGAACAGGTTGCCCAGACAGGTTGTGGAGGCCCCATCCCTGGAAGTGTTTAAGACCAGGCTGGATGGGGCTTTGGGCAATGTGGTCTAGTGGAGAGTGTCCCTGCCCACAGCAGGGGGTTTGGAACTAGATGATCTTTGAGGTCCCTTCCAACCCTAACCATTCTATGATTCTATGATTCCCCTAGCACTTCCAAGTGCAGCCACTAAACCATGTCCCTAAGCACCGCATCTACACGTTTTATAAATATCTCCAGACATGGTGACTCAATCACTTCTCTGGGCAGCCTGTTCCAATGCTTGACAACCCTTTCAGTGAAGAATTTTTTCCTAAATAATGATAAATAATGCATAAGACTACATTATTAGCACAACCAGTGCTGTTAATGATTGTCAGTCCAGCAAAGTAGGGTTGTTTTCTTTTTTTTTCCTTTTCCTGTTGTTTTGGTTTTTTAAAAAAAGTTTAAGAGAAATAGTTAAACAAGTCTCAAGTACCATATAAGCACAGTGATACACAGGCATCCCTAACCTTCAAGTAATTTTCAGTTAAAAAGCAATATTACTGAAAAATGAAGAGTGGAGATGTACAGTACACTATGATCTGTTCACTGTTAAAAGAAAAAAAAATCTTGAAGAACCAGTTAGTACATATAATCTAATCTTTTCTCTTCTTCAAGTATGCACCTGCTTGAATCCCAGAAAATAATTTCTGGGATGGTGACATCAATGAGTTTTCAGCTACTTCATTCAAGCAATAATTGAAATAATGTTTCTACAAATCCAACATCTGATCAAGTCACCATATAAAGAAATGATATGCAGCAAAAATCAGTTACTCCACCGTCACACTTCAGGTAAAAGTGTTTTGATATTTCGACAGGGGGAGGACCTTGTTAGAAATTTGTCAGGAAGATCAGATGTAAACATGTTGTGACTGATTTACAGATGCTTAATGAGAAGACAGCTTTTCAATGAACTAGTTATAGCTAGGGGAAAAAAAAAAGAGGAGAAAAAAAGGAAAAAATAATTTTTGAACATCCATGTTACTCTTCCATCAGAATCAGAGTAACATTATGCCTCTTCAATTAGTAAATACATTTACAATCAGACTGCTAAAAAAAACCTTTCATATTGTTGTTGCTGTCCTTCCTGACAAACAAATGTACCACAGGTACTTTCCACTGCCAGAATCTGGGTTTTCTAAAAGACTTTTAAAATCTTGTTGCAAACAAGCACAAGAAACCTTACAAGGAGCTCTCCAGAACAAAAAAATCTCATCAGTGGCCAATTTAGTGAATACCAGACTGAAGATATTTATAGCTTCAGGTGATCCTAACATCATCTTTTCCCATCTGCTGCTGTTTAGATCATTCATTCCAGACTGAACCTTAAGTGGCTGCTAACAAGAGCAAGAAACCTCTTTCTGTACACTTATATGATTTAATAAAAAACCAAGCTACTAAGAGACAAAGCAGCTATTTACTCAATGACCTAGCTGATCTGTAGGTGACCAGTAAGTAGTTCCCTGCTACGCTGGCTGAAGAAGTAGGTTTAACTATCAGAGGCCTGCATACACATGCAGGTGTATTACTCAGAAGTCTGCAACATTGGCACCTGTATTCTGGAAAACCTGAACATGACATTATGAATAACAGGACTTGAGAGGAGCTTTAATTTCCCCTGAAAGACTATAAATTTTCTATCCAAAGCACTATCAGACATACATACAACATGTCTGAGAGAAGAATACCTAATGTCTTTTGAAACACTTCCAACCACACATGAATACAGATACCAGTTTTACCCCTAGTCTTCTGCAGCCTCCTCTGTCTTCTGTGAGCTTTAAAAAGATTGTCACTGGTAGTTTTCTGATTAGGTCTTGAATTTACTTCTAAAGAATTAGAAATTCTGTGTTCAGAGGGCAGTCGCCTGGTTTCCCATCTTAAGAGAAAGCTTTAGTCTCGCACCTCAAGACATGGATGTTCTCATGAAAATAAATCAAAGACTTTCGGTCTGAAGAGTCTCTGAAACTAAACACACCTACTCTGGCTATTAGTGAAACGTGGAAGAGACAGATAATCATTTATGCCAAAGGTGCCGACCAGGGTTTGAGTGGGGAACTGTTTAACAAGATCTGCTCAGAAAAAAAATGAGAGTTGCTCATGATAATTTACACAGTAAGTCATGTATCATTCTGAAGGATTCCAGAAGCTCAGTCTGGGATAAAATATAGCAGTATAGAGGATCATCAGACATCTTTTTTAGTAACAGAGAACTCACAGTGTCTGCTGTCTCTTTTGGTACAAAAGACAACACAGCATAAATGAGTAACTTTTGAAACGCATGGCTGAAGTTTCTTTCAAGGTGTTTCAATAGGGACCTATTGAAATAACAATTGACATACTCAAAGAAAAATCCAGACTACTTCAGGAAGGGCTTATTCTCATGAAAGAACAAAAATGAATATGTAACTTTCGTTAAAAGAAATAAAATGGCTTTGTGATTTGGAAAATGTCAGTTCTCAGGTAATGTAAGGAGTTCTGAGCGTAACTGAACTTACACTTGGTCACACGAGGTTCAATATATTCCATTGGAAAAAGATGAAGCAGCATTACAAGTTCTAAAATAGCTTGACAAGAACAGGTAATTAGAGAAGCTCATTAACAAAACAAAATTTAAGAACCTCTTTGCTGTAAAGTTTAATTGGTGAAAATCATTCATTTATTCAGTCTTTTCTCATAGCACATTAAGATAATGAAAAAATAGCAGCTTTACTTCCAGTAAAAAGCTAGGCAAAATACTTACCTGTTTTCATTTCTAACAAGCGCTTTTTCTTTTGTTGCCTCTCTTGTTTTTCTTTTTCTGCTTTCTCCTTAGCTATTTTAGCACGTCTCTGTTTTTCTTCTGCTTCCCTTCTTCTCATATTCTCCTTTACTGCTTGCTATGAAAAAGTAATATAGAGTTCCATTAAAACTGAAGTCTCAGCGAAAACAAAGCTGAAGCTTAAAAACAAAGAAAAAAGCTTTAAAATCACATCTCCTAACTAACCTTAATTTATCAAGCCAAATAAATATTTTACATTCCATATTTAGTACACTTTATTCAGAAGACTAAGCAATTTCAGAATAAATACAATAAAAGCATACTAATTGCCCCCAAACGGGGATTATAAATTCAGCAAGAAATACATCTTAAGAATACATAATTAATGTCGGAAGAACTCAAAATATCTAAACCACCTGGTTTTACAAAACTGTATGTTACTATTTGTATTTCAAGAATAGTTTCAACATTTATTCTTTCTCATGCTGCCACTATACCAAGCAAAAGAAGGCTTCTTAGGTGATTTAGCTGTGCATATTTCTTATTCTTATCCACATATGCATTACTTCACTGGGTTTATAAATTCTTGTCTTCTGGTTAATACCAGTACAACATTGTTTATTTTGAATTATAAATAAAAACTCCAAAGCTTCCAATGAAGCCAAAACAGAATTATGAGTTTCAGAGTTTTTAGATCATTATTTTGCATATTCAGACATTAAGCAAAAAAACCTGTGTCGCATTCAATAATTTTTTAACACAGCTATTTTAGGATTACCTTTTCCTTATTTTAGTGTTAGTTACGTACACTGATAAATTCGCAGCACTCAACTCTGGCTTGCATTAAATGTAAAGTTCCGTGCACCTATTCTTCATTGTGGAAAGTTTCTCTTTTGAGAACGCAGTTACACACAAAATCTGATCTTTCACAATAGATCAAACTGTCCCTCCTACAAAATGTCTAATATCTTCACAAGTTCCGAGGCAGAGGCTGCACATTTGCAGGGATAATTAATGTGTCATGTTGTTTTTCGTGCAAACATGTCCAGCCTGGACTCAGAAAAAAATGTCAGAATGGATTGAAGAGTACTATAAAGCACAGATGAACGTGGATTACAGCAATATTTGCAAGGGCACTGTTTGTAGCATCACTGCAATAGATAGTGACCAAAGGAAGGGAAAAAAAAACCAAACATAAATCTTGTGAGGAAATACCTGTCTTTGATAACTGAAGAAGAATAAGCTTTCAATCATGAAAAATGACAATGAAATGGACTTTTTAAACAAAGCAAAACTGTACGTCCACAGTATCTTCTCCAGTTACCTTTGTCAATTTTCTTGATACTGGGGGAGGAGGGGAGAAGCTTAGTACATAATGCTAAAATTCTGGGCTGAATTAATTTTAACAAATTATTTGCTGATTTTCAGATTGGGCATTCTGTAAAATAAACTGCTGGGCAAAACTCAAATGGGACTCAAGCACAAGTACAATTTTGGCAGAAATTACACACTTTCCGTACGGAGTGACCATGGAAATTTCTACTTTGCATCTACTTTTTCTCCCAAAGTAATACCACTAGCACTCAGCCTCAGCCTGCAGTCATCCAAATGTAGGTGTCTATTCCTTTCTAATCATGCTGAGCAACTGGGTTTGATTCAGTAGTTCACACCTCATATCCCGTGCAAATTGGATGCTCTGGAGTATCACAGCTTGCCTCCAGCCTTTCTCTAGCAAGACACTGGTCTTCCCTAAGTTCTGTGTCATAACTTAAAATTTCTGGCTGATGATGTCCTGGAAACCATTTAAGAAACCCCTCCAGGATACTAGGCACTTCTGTTGTTAGGTGTCCTTTGAGATATCAGGTAGACAACTCTCCAAATTCCACTAAGTGTATTGAGTATGCATGTCCCTTGACTAGAACACAAGATTAGACACTCAAACTCACATAAAGATGCCAACATTAGAGGTCTATGCCCTACAGCCAAATCCTATCCTACGTTCTGTGTGTTTTCAACACAAACCATAGGTGTCCAAAGTTCTGCAAAATGTTTATACCAAGAATTGTCACAAACTTGACTGAGACAAACACGTATTTGTGTTTCACACTTGGCATTTCAAAGATTGAACGTCTTAACACTTCTTTGCTCAAAAGGACTGAAAAGTTAGATATGGTCTGACCGCATCTGCTATATACAAGCAGCACTGTATTCAGCATAGGGCACAGTATGCCAAGTTAAGTCTCAGACAAATTATAAAACTATATGCCTTTTGTATACCATGCCAATGGCTAGAGTTTCCGAGATGGAGGCATTCTTGAGTTCTCTCTTGTGCTTTCCAGGACCGTTTCTGATTTTTATTCAAGTATTTGCATAATAAAAAAGAAAATACTCTAGAGTTTACGGAACAAACTCTTACTTAGTTGCTGCTTTTCTGGTTCTTGAAGTCTTGTTTCTGTTGCAGAGCAACCTAGTGTTAATAGGAGCAAGGGGTTTCTATACTCCTATGATTAGTGCTCTGTCTTGGACATACGAGTTGTTGACTGAAAGCCTCTTCCGTCCCTCTCCTACAACTGCGGGAAAATTCTAACCATTAGACAAACACAGGAAGATAAAAGACTTCAATTGCTTCACCTTATTTCAGAAAGCTGTGCTTCCGAGGAAAAGAATGAGCCTGTTAGCAGTACCTCTGATGCTGTGAAAGCACTAAAGGAGGTTAACAGAGATGTTGGAAATCTAAGATGTTCTGCTGACAGTACCAGGAATTTAGCTTCAGGAGTTAAAGCACTGACAGTAAGGTGCTTCATCCATTTTTTGGATCTGGCCAACTAACTGGGCTCTAGATTTGGTGCTCAGAGTGCGTGATTAATAGCTGTTACAGCCATCAAATAACACTGAAGTACAAAATGCAGTCCCAAGTTAGCTATGAACCTGAAGTCTACAGCTCCAGATTTAAACATGTTTTTTAAACATTTTAAACATTTTCATTAATTGAGAATAAACAAACAAAAAAACCCCATTATAAGTAGATGAGTACTGTATGTAATTATCAACTTTTCTTGACAGCAAGGATGATTGAACACTTTCCCACACCTAGTGGTGACTTAAGTAGTCTTTTAGTTTCTGACTTTTTAAGAATCCAATGATTTTTCAGCACTAAATTTAAAAGTCTTTTGAGCTAAGTTTCCTAGGATGCCAGCCACCTTCATTTCCTGTCAGTAATCAAGACCAACGCTAAGCAATTCTGAAAATCAGACCCCAGGTGTCTCATGCTAGGTATCTCAAAAATATTTTCCAGAAAGTCTCAAAACTGACTAGCTACTCAATATTTTGTTTAGTGTCATTGAATGATAAGGGGTTTCATGCCTTATCTATACACCTTTTTCATATAGCCTTCAAACTGTGCTCTGCAAGACAGAATTATTAATTTTCCTCAAGGTTTCTTCTATCATGCTCATCAATAATATCTAACTGTTTTGAAGCATTAATTAATCTATCTTTGTAACACTGCTGTGAAGCAGGGGTTAGTATCAGTGCAAATTTTACAGACACAGAAAAGAAATATGGGGAGATTAAGGTAAAGCACCACCACTTCTTTAAGTCTCCAATTCAAGACGAACCTATGCATTTAGAATTCTTATTCTACAGCATTTAAATGGGAGACGTGCTTTAAACATCAGAAATGAAAGTAATACAACTATTTCATAATATTTAGCAATTTTAAAGTCAGACTCCTGAGTTTCAAATTAGGCACTGATCAAGTTAGGAAAATATAATCAATGCTCGTGTTGAAAAATCTGGCATATGTAACTTGCCAAGCAACATTATTCTGACTGAAGACTGTGCCTTCTAGGTTTTTAGCTGTTAAACTCTGAAGTAGCAGGGGCTTGGTAATATTTACATGTTCCAATATGTTTGCTAAATATGGGTTTCATTTTAAGTCCTTTCCGCAAAATAGATGGAGTTAGGTATTTCAAACCCTTTCTCAATACCTACAAAAGTATTTTCCCCTATCTACACCCTTAGATATGTCTAAAATCATTAATAAAACCCCCAAACCAACCAACCAAGCAAAATCAAACAAGACTGGGAAACATGCAAGCAACTTAAGTGTGTTGCAATGCTAAGCATCAGGCTGCCATGAGTAGAAGATGGTAAAATGACTATTTGAATCTTTCTATAGATCAGTAGGCATGAGTTGGATCACTGCTCCAGATTTTGTCACAAAACTCATGCTCAGATAACATCCCTGCAGGAGGGCAGCCAGTAAGTTAAGCTATGTAGTCATAGGTAGCCAGATGTGACACAAGTCACCTTTTCCAAGTTATCCAAATTAAAAAATTCATACACAACTGGGGACATGCCTTCATATCCTTCCATTTCTTCATTGAGAAAAAGAGTTGCTTACCAGCCAAGTGTTCAGAATCCAAGAGAAAAAACTATTTTTGCAAAGAAAACATAAAAAAGCAAAACAAAAACCCAAAACAAAATTGGAAAATAACCGCAACCTCCACACAAAATCAACAACCTCCCCCTGCCCCCCTAACTTTACCAATCTGAGCGTAGTTATAAATCACCAAGATAGCAATCGTCACTAATCCTAAATAAGAGCTCTATAAAAATATTTTGAGCTTATATAGTTATCAGCTTTCCCAAAGTTGTTGGTTATTTTAAATGGAGCGATATACCAGTCTTGAATATGTGTTCTGAAGCATATCATCAAGTTACTCGTCCTTCTTCCAGAAGAACTACATTGACAATGGTAATAGAATCCGTAGTACTTTGGAGAACATCTGAATGTCCTGAAGTTTGCCAAGATGACTCTTTATAGTCATATATAATCAGCTCCAAGCTTATAAAGAAATACCCTGGTGAGAAATTTCTATCTCACTTTTTAGAAAGATCTTTTGTTAAAACTCTTAAATCACATTTTGGTAGAATTGAAAAAAAAAAAGAAAAAAAACCCAAAAAAATAACAAGAACCCCTATTATTAAAATTTGTAAGCATAATGAAAATGCATTTGGACCCCAAAAATACCTGAAGAAAAATAAAATTAATTTCCAAAATAGCTCGAGCTTTTATCATGAGCTAGTATATGTGAACATTTGTATACATTATTCAGATGCTGCCCTATGATACAAGGACAGAGCTAACCTACACATCTATGACTATTTTAAATGACTTTAAGGCAAAGCTCTGCTAACTAACATTGAGTCTGAATTGTGGTTATAACTGTGTTCTGAGCTTTATACCAAAGGAGCTACTCAACAATAACCTGAATCAGCCTACTGTTTGCTTGTCAAATATAATTCATATATTTACAATAATAAGATAGTAATTCTTAGCCCCTCCCCTCAAAGATCATCCTTTTTAAAGGGAAAAGAAGAAAGCAAGCATTTAAATGCATAAAATGTAAAATCCTAGACAATCTATTGTCACAAAATTTAAAGATCCTTAGAAACAGACTGAGTTTGAGGAAAATATGCTATTTTTTTAAGCCAGGATAAGGAGCTCTGAGTTTAGCAGGGAATCTGCTTACAGACATAAATCTTGACACTGATCAAGTGCTGTAGGCAAATGAAAAACGAAACAAAATAAAATCTTGGGTCTGGATTTTGCATGGAAAGAGCATTATAAATATAGAAAAATTGTTAGAATATTTAAGTCAACAACAAGCATCCTTTAAGCAGAAAACGCAGTAGTATTTAAAAAAGGTAGAGTTTAGGTTTTTCCCCTTTAGGTTATACATGCATAAAAGAGGCTCAGTTTTAAATTACATTCATTGTTATTAGGAAATAACAGAAAGAAATAAACCACAGATAATAATTCAAAGCTCCATTATCCTTAGCATGTCCTAAGAATTTAGGATGTGCAAAGTAAAATTTCTGATATGAGTATCAGATACCATTTGAGGAAGAAAATTATTTTTAGTTTGTTCAATAACTGAAAGATTACAAAAACTATTTCTAAGAAACATTAGGCATAAAATAAACAGACTGTACCATGAACATTGTCCTGAAGTTATTTAAGTCTGTTAAAAACTCCTCCACTGAAACTTTCTTCAGATCAATGGCATAATATCGCATCACGTTCTGATAGAGTTTTTCCATGTTCTCATGCATCCTTGAAAGTTTCTGAAAATCTTCTTTGGCATGAACTAGAAAGCTGTACATTGCTGTTAAGGCTGCAAGAATACTCAGTGAATCCAGTCAAACCCACAGGTTTTACTTAACATTGATCTGTATTTCATACGTATTTTTTCATTTGCATCAAATGAAGTATCAAAATAATTCCTTCCATTTCATATATGCTCTCTAGTATTTACTGTGTATATTAGGCCTATGAATAAATCAGGGTGCTTTCATCAATTTTTCTCAACCACTTTAAAGATTATGCTATTACATATAATTTTGTATGAAATGAAATGTATGGGACTAATCTAACTTAAAGTAGTTTATTATGTAGTTTATTTAGTTTCACTGTGTCCTTATTTAAGCTAAAGGTTTAGATATATAAATTACAATTTACATGGAATTTAGGTACAGATACCAATAACTAACCTGAATATTTTAATATATCAAGAAATAGTATAGTTTCTACAGAAATTAGACTAAAAATAGAAATGTTAATAAACAACAGTATTAAAAGTAAAAACCGTGAAAGATTAAAAACTTCATCTTAACAGCTTTTTTTTTTTTTTTTTTTTAAATGCTGTTGTAGCAACAGCAATGCATTAATTTCTGTTCCTGGTGGCTGCATCAGGTATTTATGCTTTTTGTAAGGCTACATGCAATGTCAATACAACTTAATTAAATTAGAGGTGAAAACAATAGAACTACTTCTACAAGAGATAGACAATTTATAAACTGCACCAAAATACTGCATAACATAAATGAAATGAAAAAAATCATGTTTATTCAAGACTTTTTTATAATATATTTTGTTCAAGAAGCTCAAAGAAGAAATATTGTGTGTTGTCATTTCCTTATGTAGGACAACTTCATAAAGTGTTTACTTTAATGGAATGGTAGCTAAACAAATATTCATGTTCCATGGTTTTCCTGCTACAGGAAAGGCTATAAAAGACAAGAAATGGAAATTTTACCTTTACTCCCAATTGCCTACCCCAACTATTGCAAAAGAGAATTTACTGTATTTGTGTACTTCATACTACAGGTACATACACTATGGTCAGTTTATTTTATGAAGCACAAGATTTTTAAACAAGTGCATTAAAATCTAGACAAATAGAATTTTTGTCTGCCGTGCTGTTTTAAACACACAGTAACAATTTACTGCTGGGTGATTGCTTTCACTTTTCAGGTTTTTTGTGATGTATTCCTTCTTTTAGTTTTGTTTAGAGGCTGAATCCCACTGGAATTTCTCTATTAAATGTCCTTCTGGTTTGTTAACACTGCTTTTAAAATACCAAGTAGGTAATGATTTTCTTTTTGTGATTTAGAATCTATGCCAGAAGGTCATACAATAACGTTCTCAGACACATGCAGGAAAGGATAAGTAACGCACTTTCACAACATTCAAGTTAGTCACTACAATGGCTATTACCTGGGCCTGTAAGGGCAGAATAGTCTCCACTATGACAGTCTTGTAGAAAAGGACTATCTAAAGCCTAGATTTCAATGATTTTAAGTGACACATCTTCCATCATGCCCAACCACTTGATTTCAAACTTTCTTTTCCTCTGACAAGTCTCCTTAGCCAGTATGAGCTTCTTTCCATGTCTCTATTGACTTTACATGATGCAGCTCGTGAGCAGCTTCAAACTGCCTGTGCTGACTGGCTAGCAACAGCTCAAAGAGAATTGATTTTGCTGGCCCACTTTTTCTTCCACACCAATTTGAATTTCTCTCCTCTACATAGCTCCCAAGATGCACATAGCTTACAGGAAACTACCCTCCAGACTTGAGTTTATTTAAAATTATTAAGGATGTTAAAAAACTATTGGAGGGACAACAAGGAAAGCTGATGAAAGATTAGTATGTAACAGCTGCCCAAATATTAAAAAAAAAAAAAGGATTATGAGAAACAAGACATGACAAAAGATATGTTAGGACCATCAAAAGAAATCTCAGTAGTTCAAAAAAAAACCAAAACAAACCCACCTCAAAACAACAAAAAACTGTAACAAAGGAAAATAGTAAAATTAATGCTAAATGAAACTAGAAACAAACATTTCTACATCCTGCTTTATTTTTGATCCTACAATTTAGGATACTTATTATTTGTGATTCTTAGATCATTAACAGAACTTAGGGAAAACTACGCTATTTTTTGTGATAATGAGGCTGTTTATTTCCAGAGTGCAAGGGTAAAGGAAAATCAGATAAATTTGTTTTGTTCTCACTATGTCTAAATGAGATATATCATAACATTTCAGTAACTTTTTTCAGTTTTCTACGAAGAAAAAAAAACATGATAAAAATAGTTAAAATTATCAAGAAAATGTATACTTCATCTTATAAATAAATGATATGCCAGAGTATATACTGAAAAGAAAACTTGGGGGGGTGGGGAACTGGGCAACCTGTTCCAGTCTTTCACCACCCTCAATCACTACCAAAAATATAGTCCATATTAGAGTCCATATAGGCTGTTTAGTTTATCCTGTTAAAATTGACTCCCCTTGAATACATGATGCACAATTTTAAACCCAAAATGCAGCACTCCAGAAAGATGGTTTACTATCCAACATTGCAATGCCAGGCACAATGAATCCTGAGATTTTTATTTTCCATCTCGTGCATTATGGGATATCCTAAGCTCTTGGCATTCTACTGAGACTATGCTTCAATTTAGGTATTTCTAATAAGTCCTCTTCCTTTTTTGCTTAAATACGGCTTTTGTTAGCCAGCACTAGCTAAACTGGAGACAACAGGGAATACTACCGAGTACAGCAATCCCAACTGTAATTATTATGAACAGGTTGATATATATGCATTATCAGCTACACAATTCATTGGCTTTGGATGAATGAAGCCAGAAGTACAGAAGCACTGCAACACAGGTGGGAGGAAAAGGAAATCAAGAAGTTAGGTATTTGTTAACTTTTTCTGAAGTGGCTTCACTTCACAGACTGCCTTTTTGGACTCATGGGACTACAGATCATCATTCTGCTCATTAATGGAACAGGAAAGCAATGCAGGGCTGAGACAAGTAATATCTGTGGCAAAAATTCTAACTGCTGTATATTTGGTCTTGCATATTCATGGCAGGTCTTTTCATAGTGAATTGCTTATCTGAACATTATACTGATTGTAACATTGTGCTATATAAAATACTAATATAGAGCAGGGCATCAAGTCAAGTAAAAGCAGCTGTTACCCTAGAGAAGATAACGATCGATTTTAATCTGTACCAAACACTTCCTTAAAAGACCCCATATTCACTAGTTGTGATTTTTTTCACAAACTAACCTACGTATTAAGTGTAGACAATCCAAAAAAGGAATATGATTCAGCGTAAGAACAAAAGAATAACAGCTGCATAGATGCTGCATATATTTTAGCAGAATCTTCAAAATGGAACTGAGACTGCCACTACAGTCTCTGTGAAAACATGGCAAACTTTTCAAAGGCTGGTGCAAAAAGACATTGAGGTCACTTCAAACCAGAATTTCAACGAATTATTTTCTTCTAAGGCCAAAGGGTATGAATGTTGTAGAGGTCTGTTGAGGATTTCCCACATCAATTTCTTGGGAAGAGTTGCAATTGTCTGAAAAATACATGTCATAGAGACTTCCTTTTATATTCATACAGCAGGTTCAACAGTAAAATTCCATATCTGAATATTGTAGTTCAAGAAACACATAGAAATGTTTAGATTTTTAAATTAGCACCTTCTGAAGAGTCTCTGTCACATAATACCTTTTCCTTGACTCATTCCTACTTATCTCTATGTTATAATACTAAAACAAATCAACATGTATTCGTATCACACAGAGCTGCTGCATTCGGTTTGTATACCCCATATAGTATGAGCAAAACCAGTGCTAGCTTTAATACATGCCTGAAGACCAGATATTAAAGACCTGTATAAAGAAATTATATACTTAAATTTACATTGTTTGTCAAAGTCCTATCTCATTACCTGTTGACACAGTCAATGTCTTGACCCCCTCCCAAAGAGCAACATAAATCTTTTTTCACCTAACAAGCTCAGGTCCTGTAATCTTTCAAAGTCCTTAGGATGCTAGGACATCTTACAGACTTCAGCTTGTTTATGTTGCACAGAAGGAAATTCAAATTATGAGGTAGATTAAGTAACCGACAGTTTAGAGGCAGCATGTAGTCTCCTCTTTATAGTTGAAATGGGTTTCTTCTACCCCACTCCAATCAGGCTTTGACTGGGGTAAGTGCCATTCGTTCCCTTTTTGCAATGTCAATAAATAAACAGCAAGAAAAGAAGAATAGAGAACTGATCAAAAAGAAAGGACTCTGTTCCTAGCTGAAAGGCAGCAACCAACTTGTCTCTCGAGTATTGTTTCTATAAGCTTCTGTGAACATCTCCATCAACACTACATTCAGTGGTAGGCTGAAACTTGTCAAGAGTTTCTCAGCTGGTACTTAGAAAATCATGAGATGCAAGCTGGACTGATAAAGAGCATGTTGACTAAATTACTTAATTAAGCTTTTAATATGCAATTTAAATACTCTCCATAAACCCACTAAATTTTTATTTTGAGCATGCAAGTGTATTTTGTTCACTGTGCTTTTTATTGAACATTTCACTCAACGGATTTAATACTCTAAATCAGTATCAGTTCAATATTCTTTCACTTTCCTAATTAAAGCAAACAAAAGAACTGCAATAATAACTATAATTTCTTTTCAGCTAGTATACATAAGATGACTGACAAACTAGCACAATCTAATAAATAGGAGAAATATTCATAATTATAGACTTTGTCAATAAAAGAGTGCACCAACTGTGCATATATCTGACTTCCTAAAGAAACAAGAATGCTAATCAGTTCATTAGGGGCCTTTGGGTTGTGATATTTAGCAACAGGATGTAATAGCCTACTTGTCCGTGGAGCCTAATTGTACTCAGGATGAAAAATTATTTCCAACAAAGCACCATCCTTCCTTTTTCAGATTTCCTGCTGGTTTCTTTTTATGAGCTGCATGCCTTTCAAGACATCAGCATCATTCAGCTTTCCTTGTCATAGGAATAAAAGTAAAGACAGGTCCAGGCTTCATCACGCTGTGCAGGATTATCTAACCTTTACATCAAACCTTTTTTGCTTTGGAATTTATTAAAGTTCCTGTTTTTCTAAAAGTGAGCTTCTTTAATTAGCGTGTTCACAGACATTACTAGAATCCATGTGCAACTTTACTGTGCGGAAATTACTGCCTGTCTGCTGCGAGAGGTAGTAGGTGAAGACAAACTATTCCTGTTCATAATATTTACTGTTGCAAACATTGTATTTGAATAGTCTAATACAATGAAATACATAGTATGGCTAGTTTTACCGGTACTGATTTATTCTGAGTAAGACCAAATATTCATCTCACCTGTTTCTGACATCAGTCAATACCGGATGATTAGGGAAAACAAGAAGGAAACTTGGTAAGTACAGCATGATGATTCAACTGATGTAGTATTTGGTTTCCAGTCTGTATGCTAGTGATTCTTCTGAGCTAAAACTACCTCTGGACTATTGTGTTTCAGAGTTCCAGACGTACTACCTTTAGCTCATCATCTAAGCCTTATATGCAATTCATTTACATTTTCAGCCTCTACAACATCCTAAAAGTAAATGCTAAAGTTTAATTGTTATGTAAGAAAACATTTCTGTTACTATGTTATAACCTGCTGGACAGTTTTTACATGGGAAAGGAACAGAACAACCTCACCAACAAAATACCACCTTATAAAAAATTAGTAGCAACACTGAAAGTTTACAGATAACCCACAGAGTCCAGAGAAGGCCTAAAGCTAAGTTGTAAACACTTTGGTTGCAGCTAGTCTACTGAAGAGGAAAGTGGCCCTCATGCAGCAAGAACCAGTATGTCCACTTGGCCTCAGGGTTCCTTACCATCTTTTATTTAATAGTATGAGTTTAATCAAGAGGACTGTCTCCTGAGTCCCCCCTGTATTTGTACATAGCAAAGTAGTCTTCCGGCTAGGTAATAACCCGACCATGCCTGCAGAGGAAATTTCAACATGTTTCTCTATCTGCAGGTATTTCTGCTTCCAGATTACTATCAGTGCCAAGCATATGTGACCATCATCTGGTAGGGACGTTTAAGTGAAAAAATGGGGGTTTTTTCTGCTTTAATTAAGTACCACCATATCACAAAGTTTTCTTATGAGAGAGTCAGTACAGCTGACTGCAGGGGTTGGAATAAATAGTGAAAAAAGGAATTTTGGCAAAAATAAGACCAGAAACCAGTTTTCATATGCTATGAATCTCATTAAATAAGAGAAATTTTTTGATTCTCTGGTTGCATGTACAAAAACATTCACAGTGTAATGCACAGTGGTAATGTATACACTAGAAAACAAATAAACAGAGGGTCACAGACATATTTTTCTAAGATACTCTCACATGAATAATCATTTAACTCTAAAGTGAAGTGCTTAACATTGCTATTAAAACTACTTTCCACCAAGCTAAGAAACTTACACACAGCGTAAAACCTGACAGTAAGCATTTTTCTCCTGATTCTATCCACTACACATGAATCATTTAATTGAACTGTTCACGTATTAGTTTTCGAGGGGACAGAGAGTTATGTTTTTCAAAAATAAATGCTACAGACTAGACAGAAGTTATGCAAAGAAATTTAAAGTTTAAGGTAATGAAGTTAAATTACTTCTGGTTTTTTTGGTTTTTTTTTAAAGAATACTCCAAAGGATATTGACATTTTTGCTACAAACTTATCGTGCTTATCTTCAGGAACTGGAAAAGTCTGCAAATCCTTCTCAAGCTGTTGGAGTTGCCTCTCCATATGCTTCAGGCTCTTCTCCAGGTTTTCTGCTGAGACTAAAATACAGAACATTCATTCTGTTAACACCTTAAACAAGAAACAATTTTGTAAAATACATGACTTAAAACCTTACCCAAATCAGCATTCTATGTTTTTAATCCTGAAATAAAAGCACACTGAACAATTTACAAGACAAGGTGAGGGGGTCACTCTACAACATTCAGTTCCCCTCACTTAGGCAGTTGCCTTTTTCTGATTAGATATATGCTGCTTCAACACTGTATTTTGTTTTACTTTTATGTCTAAGGTTTTGCACTGCAATTAACAGTCTGTTTTAAATAACCTGAGATATATGTATGCCAGTCTGCCTCTTCTGATTAACTAAAGGACAAGTTCTGAAGCTACTCCAAGAACCACAAAGCTTTCTTCAATCTCATTCTGTTAAAACAGAAAATACGAACAATTGCATGGAAGATCAGGAAGAAAATAAGACCCTCAAAACATAGAGAAAATGGGGCTATTAAACACCTACGCACAAAACCTAAGACTCTATTTCCTAGTTTGAAAGTTCGATGCCTGGTAAAAAACACAACAGAATTTGTCAGAGCAAAAAGTGCTCGCCAAGCTGGAGGGATGTGCAAGCACTTGAGAGAGTGCAGCAGAGCAAAACAGGGACTTAGGAAAAAGAAAAGAGTAGACAGGAAACATCAGGGATTTATAGAAGGATGCAGAAAACCTGCAAATTTTCTTTATCAGAAAAAGAGAAATACAACTTTCAGCCATTTGAAGCAATGCACAGAATCTGAACACTTGATCTGTAAACAGTTGATTAAAATATCAAGACCATAAGAGTAACCTGAGGATAACTCCCGTTAGCATGTATTCTATCTTGGATTTATATTATTGGAATCAGTTAGTTTATTTCCTGATTGTTTATGAATTAAACTAAACATGTAAATATGTTCTGTAGAAACAATATGTAGAGATAAGAACATACTCTGAATTTTAGACAAATGACTTTTTTCTTTTTTTAAAAAAATATTATTTATTTATAATATACTGTACCTATAAAGGTAAAGCTACCTTTAACTTCATCTAAAAAGTCCCCAGAGAAAGTTTGAGGCCCTATAACCTTATTAGGATCTGTAGTGGATCCATGATTTCATCCTCTGAGAAGAATTATGTGATGGAAAATATAAGATACACAGACCGAACACATCTTTCTCTCATAAAAGCCTGACAATCCCCAAACGGAGAGAGTAAAATGTTGCATAGCAACTACAATTCCATTCATAGCAGAAAGGTTAACACAACTATAAAATGATCAAAGGCAACCTGTTAAAATGCTAATGTAACCTAAAAAATACCCCAAACCAACCACCAAACAATTTGGAGATAATCAACTTTTCTAAAAAAGAATAAAGCAATACAAATATATGTTGGCATTATAATTTATAACTCATCATTTGGTTTATAATCATAATTTTTAAAACCCTCTCTTTACTCCAAAACACTGCTTCCCAAGTGTATGTTAGACTTGGCAGATTTTCACTCAGTGATTGGTAAGCCCAATTCATCACCAGGTAGGTCAGTTGGCTTCAGTAGTTAAGAAACTGCCTTGTTTGGGAAGCAGAGCTAAAATTAGAAGCTGACAATGTTGACTACATATATCTTTCAGTCTTCACAGGTTCCAGAAACAAACCTGATTTTAATAGGGCATACTTCTGCTGTCATAAGAAGCCTTTGAGGGTAGGCACACACAATTTTAAGACACTGATTTACTTAGAAAGCTGCTAAGAAACACAAAATATAATACCTTGTACTTAATGTAACTGTCAATATGACTCTTCATAATATAGTCTTGCATAAAAAAGAGTTCACAGCATAAAATTAAAGTGACATACTTACAAAATGTCAGAATGATGAGACTCAGCAAGTACACAAGTTTAAAAACAAACCTAAAAACCAAACCAAAAAACCCATCCCATAAAAAGAGAAACCTCTACATCAATTGCAGGAAGGAGCTGAATAACAGCTACATTCTTTTACCTAGATTTAAAAAAAAAAAAAAAAAAAAAAATCCAACCACCCACAACTCAGTGCTAGAGCTGATTAACGGGTTGTATACAAGAGATTTTCGAATTCTTGCTTCCAGCAAAGCCAATCTTGTATTTCTGTTACTTCAGTTCTTTTGACCTTGAACAGTTACATATTTGATCAAGAATCCTTACATCTCTATTGTGTTCTGAAGGGTATTTTTCCTCTGTCACAGATATAAAAAATACAAAAATTCAGCATTCCTTTGATTTCAGCAGTGCACAATTATCAGATATATTTTCCTTTAAGACTATATTTCTGATAACAGCCTCAAGCAGAGGCTAGCTCACAATATGCTGGTATTAGTTTGGTACTATTGCCTTTGCAACTTCCAATTTAGTGAAAACAGATGAAAAAAAAAATCTAATCTATAAATATAAGCAGCTCTTCAACAACAAGATCACATGAAATACCCGCCAACCTTCGCTCAAGCCCCTCTAGAAAATATGGTATAAAATCTGAAGGGAAATAGAAGAGTGGCAGAAGAGGAAAAAAAAGATCCCTAACTTTGTCCTCGAAGCCTGGGAGGATTCAGATATAAACCCAAGCCCAATTGAAGTAAGCAACTCATCTGATAGTTTGGAAACAAAGACTGGGGTTTGGAATGTTAGTGAGCCCACAAAACCACGTTGTTCCTTGAATACCATGCATGTGTGATGGAACACTCTCACTTACACCCTCTGAACTCTCATACCTCTTTTTCAAAAAAACTCTTGGTATTTTCATAGGCAATAATTAGATTTCCTCACCTTCTGCCTTTCATGGTTAAAAATCTTTGTCCTTTAAGTTTCCTCTCATGGTTCAGGTTTTCTAATACCATGATTATTCCAGAAGCCTCTTCACCTGCTTCTGTTTTAAAACCTTTCTGCATAGTACTTCAGGTCATGACTCACCAGCCCTTTTAATGTTTGCATTACTATTTCTACAGTTCTACTGGAAATACCTTATCTGTTTATGTCATGACAAAATATCCTTTTTTCTTGACCAAAACTCTTATTACAGTATCAAGATGCATGATCTTGTACTTCATACTATTTATTTTCATTTCTTTTATTCTGCTTCCTCAGGATCATTCAGTGATGACAACCCAATTCCCCTCTCAGCTGGCAAAGCTGTCTAACCCTTTGTCAGATATGCTTATTGGTTCAATACCACAATAATTTTTTTGCCATATTCCTTTCATACAGTACGTTTCTTCCTCTTTTTATTCTAATGAATATTCTCCCACTTTACATAATATCAAATGCTTGCCTGAAGTCAACATAGATTTCATGTGTTAAAAAAAAGAAAAAAGAAATTGAATCAATAGTCTGCTACCAATAAATTAATTTCTATTTCATGCTACGCTCACTAACCTCCACATGTTTGATTATTCTTTGCTCTATAAACTTTCATATCATTAAGGTCAGATAAAGAGATGTGTAATTGCCTAAATCATTCTTTTCCCCTCAGTTTCTTAAATGTTCTGTAGTCACATAGCATTACTGTAGCCACAGCAAAACTTGGTTAAAAATGTGCTTACTAAACTTCTTGTCCTATATCTCAGTTATCTCAGAATGCAGAAATGGAAAGTGGTATTTACAATATAAAAATATGGTACTCTGATTTTTTTATTTCAATAAATTTCTGTGGACATATTTTGCTCCCTCCTACCTCATCCCCAGATCATAATTCTTGCTTAAAATTAAAGCAATATTTCATCTAGTTTTGATATTACACCTATTTTATCTTAAATCCTAGATAAAAAAGCAAAGCAATACTACTTGTGTGCTCTCTCATTTATATTGCTGTAAACCTTCTGTTACTTTTTGCAACAGATATTTCAGCTGGTATTTCAGAAAACCTACGAGCAGGCCACCCTGTATGACAGTCTTCTTGGATGGTTGCAATCTCCATATGAAGAGAAACTTCCTCTTGCCTACAAATATTTTGCTTCCCTTGTGCTATTCTGGCCACTACATTTTGAGGGCAGAGTGTGACAGTGACATGCCTGATGTAGAAAAATACACAATATTATATTAAAAAATCTGAATATATATCTTGCTTTTGCCATTTGAACTTCATACTGGACTGATGGACAGAATTTTCTGATTAATTCTCTGAAATTGTGTCCTGAATTTTGTCTGGGATAGAGTTAATTTTCACAAGAAGCTGGGAAGGGATACAGCCAGGACAGCTGACCCATACTAGCCAAAGAGGGTATTCCATACCATATGATGTCATGCTCAGCATAAAAGCGCGCTAGCTGGGGAGGGGTTGCATGGCTCTGGGAAATTCTGTGTGAGGTCCTGTATGGTCGTTGGGTGAAAAACTGCATTGTGTATCACCTGGTTTGTATATTCTAAGTACTGGGGGTGTTATTTTCCTCTACCTTTGGTGTCCCAGTAAACTGTCCTTATCCCAATCCACGAGTTTTACCTTTTACTTCCGATTTTGTTCCCATCCCATTGGGGCAGGGAGGAGTGAGCCAGTGGCTGTGTGGTGCTCAACTGCCGGCTGGGGCTAAACCACAAGTTTCAAAGTAGTAACCATCAGTGATTCCACACATCTCACCCAAAAAGCTCACTCCAAAAGCAGGATGGAGAGCACAGACAATGCAAAGAATGTTTCTGCCATGAACAAGACTCACACATTATCTTTATCTTCCTTTGTTATCCTATGAAACTGTCTTTATCTCAGCCCACGAGTTTTTCTTTTTTCCCATTCTCCTCCTCATCCCACTGAGTGGGGGAATGAGTGAGCAGCTGCGTGGTGCTTAGCTGCTGGTTAGGGTTAAACCACGACAAATGCATAAGCATTTTTGTACCCCATTCCCTAGTAATATTAATACCCCACGACAAATGCATAAGCATTTTTGTACCCCGTTCCCTAGTAATACTAATACTATCACCAGTAGGAATAAGCCTCAGACCTTATACTAACTGTGTCCTGTGCTACCTACACAAAAGCCCTGTTGCAC